TTGACAAAAGAAAACGAAAAGGTTTTATGCTCCAAGACGATCGGAATCAAAATGGCAGAGTTAATTTCCTCTAAATTGACAATTTAGTCGTTTTTGCATACTTTTACCCCTTTGGGTTCTATTAACTTTGCCATTTCGACTCTGATCGGCTCCAAGCATAAGACATTTCCTGTTTAATTTTAAAAGAGGAATCAAAATCATGTTTTACAATTAAAATTTGATGAATTCTGGAAAATTCAAATTTTCCAATATTTTATTTGATTAAATTGAATGGCGTTTACTAGAAGAGGGCGTTTAAGTCACCTTATCTTATAATAAGAAATTCTATACATTTCTTAAACAAAGGCTTTTAGTAGAGCCCCTCCCCCCCACACCAAACATTTGAACAAACAAATATCGTGTCTCTAGATAAAAGAAATCCTGGGGAAATCAGCAGGAGAAATTTTATCCAGTGCCAGTGTCACTTGTCTCTAGTTGCAGTTCAATTATATAAAATAATGTCTATTTTAAATCTAGATGCATTGTAACTCCTTTCCTACGACAAGTATCACTCTTTGATTCATTTTCATCAAATCTCCTCAAGGTGTTTTAAGGATCACGAGTCACTGGAGTCTATTGGTTGAATGTCCTGTAATACAATGAATGGTAGAATGTAATTTTAATGCTTTTACCATTTTATTTGAGTATCATTAAACATAATATGACGCGAGCCAAATCCAGTGGATTAAAGAAAATTACATACATTGAACTGATTTCGAACTTCCCTGAGTTGCGATATTGGCTTTAATATTGTTCTGCATCTTCGAAGTCTGTAGCTGTTGTGAAAATAAGTTGAGTGATCAAGAAATGTATAGACATATCTTATCTTAAGATTAGGTTACTTTCAGTCATTCAACTAGTGGATACCATTAAATTTAATTAAATACGATACTAAGAAAATTTGAATTTTTCAGTATTTATCAAATTGTAAAAAACAAAAATGTAAAACCTGATTTGGATTCCTCTTTTAAAATTAAACAGGAAATGTCTTACACTTGGAGCCGATCAGAGTCGAAATGGCAAAGTTAAAAGAACTTAAAGGGTAAAAGTATGCAAAAACGACCAAATTGTCAATATGGGGGAGAATATACGAGAGGGTGGTCCATAGACCCCTTCCTTTATTTTGCTTATACTGTACCGGATGCAGGCGTTCGGGCGGGATTACCTACTGTCGCGTACCATGGGCGCCTTATGGCCCCGTGCGAGTATGCAACCCGTCCGCACGCCTGCATTCGGTGCAGTATAAGCAAAATAAAGGAAGGGGTCTGTGGACCACTTTGTATAACTCTGCCATTTCCATTCTGATCGTCTTGGAGCATAATACGTTTTCGTTTACTTTTGTAAAGATGAACCCGACTCATTGGTTACCTTTTCACATTTCACCTCAAACCAGTACCCCCCCCCCCCCCCCCCCCGTCCAACTTACGTAGGTAAACACGTAAACCATTCCAAATATCGCTTTCGTTCCTTTTCATCGGACACTCGCGACACTCCCGCAGGCTGTGTTCCGCAACTCTAAAACTAAAAATACCGCACTTGGCTTGACCACCTGATGTTTGAATCACTGTTGCGAAGGTTTCAAAATCGTGAGGTGAGCTGTTCGCGCTTCACTCGCACCCTGGTGCTGCGCAAGCGCCAACTAGCGGCGACTAGCCACACTGCGCCGCGGTAGCAAACTGCTGCCAACTGTTGAACTTTTAATTCAAACAAATTACAAAAATTTTCAAACGCAATCAATCGCAATATTCTTCAGTGATAAAACACACTCATAATTTGTACATCCCAAAACATATTTACATCTAGAGATACTCGCTACAGCGACACAGGAGTGGTTGCTTCTCACGGACAGACAGGCAGACAGACAGACTCACGACCAACACCTCGCCAGGTCCACCACAGAGCTCGGTCCACTGTTCCGGAGAGCTTCGCTTCGCTCAGCAATGAAGGTTTTATCGGCCTCTGATGCACCTAGGAAGCCCACGATAGGTGGACCTGTTTTATAGCCCGCCCTTCTGCTTTGAAAAAGCTATCCAGCGGGCTTATGCAAACGAGAGTCCTCTGGACGAAAATTTCGTCCGTTTGGCTCTATCTCTAACCGTTTAGGCGCTAGAGGGTCTTGTTTGACGAAAATAAGTTAAAAATTGCTGTAGTGAACAATTAAAAGTAAAAGAAGGCCAAAAACCGCAAAAGAGGTAAGAAACTCCCTCCCCCCACCCCAAAAAACGTTTTCTAAGCAGAAGGGTGGGTTGTAGTCGCGGTGTTTCACCGTTACATCCCTTTCTCGTGTCTACGGGGCAAATTTTAAGGACGACGGGCTTTGCGGGCCGAAGGCCCGTTACATCATTTGATTATGTTGTACAGCAAATCGCGTGACAGAAATGGTCGGGCCGCAGGCCCGACCATCGCCTCCGGCAGGCCAAGCAGGCCCGGCCCCTGCCGAACGGAGTTGCCGGCGCAGCAAAGCGAAGCTGGCAACTTCGTTTGGCGGAAGGGCGGGCCTGCTTGTTTAAAATTAATATGTTTATTTTTGGGCCACTTTCGTGATAGAAACTCTCTCTAGCGCTTAAACGGTGAGAGATAGAGCAAAACGGACAAAATTTTCGTCCATAGGGTTCTACTTTGACGAGTTACCCCTCAGGGGTTCATAAAAAAACAATCTGACTTTTTTGACCTACCCCCTTTTCTTTGATACCCCCTTTCAGCCTCCTAGGGTAGGTTGCCAGGATTTGCCGTAGGCGTTTCGTTTTCTAGGAGTGAACCTTAAGATACCCTGAAAATTTGAAGTCTCTAGCACATCTCCTTCTAGTGGAACAGACAGACAGACAGACACACAGACACACAGGCACGAGGTCGTTTGCATAAGCCCGCTGGATAGCTTTTTCAAAGCAGAAGGGCGGGCTAAAAAATTAAAAATCCCACCTAAACTTTTCTCACAGAGGCCGCCGAAAACGGGCCCGGAGCCGATTGGAGGAGACGAACCTTTTGACGGTTTATCTCATTTCCCGGGTCTCAAGGGCAACAATGCGTTTATTTTTTTTCATATTCCTTACATTTGAGTCGAGACCTACAAAATGACACCAATTTCGATCAAAAAGGCCGCATTTTAGAGATCGTTAAATTTTCCATACCCTTAAGGCCCTTGTCCTTTATAAGGGACATGTAGTTTTTCTCGTCTCCCAACGAGCCTATTTGAGTTAGACCCTAATCGCGCAAGTAGTCGGCTTCAGTAAGCATTAGGGCACCTCGAAATAATTTTTTCGAGGTGATCCGACCGATAGGTCTTACTTGGGTCACATACGAAAACGCTTAATTTCACGATTTGCCTTTTCAGCGTGTTTCTTGACTTTGAAGCGAGGGGTCCACAACTAGGTTCGAGCGCGTACACTGGCCGCCCGGAAAACTGGGAAGACCGGGAAGACCACCAGGAAGACCAAAGAAAACCGAAGAAGACCAATAAAATCATAGGCCACAAATGAGAGAGAAAACCGAAAAATGTAAGAGAAGACCGGTAAAACTTTCAGGAAGACCGAGAAATTGCGGGGAAGCCCGGAAAATACAAGGGAAGACTGATAAAATTGCGAGAAAACCACAGAAACCCTGAGGAAGCCTTTAGAAAATCTCAGAAAACCAAGATTTGGGAAAACCAAGAAAAAGTTGGGAAGACCGGGAAAACCTAGGGAAAACCTAGGAAAACTAGGAAGCCCACAACATGTGTACACCGGCAGACCGTACCGAGGGGGTGCTCACTACGAGATTATGTGTACACCTTAACTTTTCACTTTTTCACTTTCAGTTCACTTTCGTAACTTTTCGTTTCACTTTTGCCCACTTTTGCTCAACTTTTTTCACTTTCGCTTCACTTTTTCCACTTTGGCTCAACACTTTTACTTAACTTTTTTCACTTTTGCGCACTTTAACTCAACTTTTTTTCCACTTTTGCGCACTTTAACTCAACTTTTTTTCACTTTAGCTCCACTTTTTATCACTCTCACTTTCACTTTTTGACAGCATGTACACCCACTTTCGGAAGTGAGTACCCCCTCGGACCGTACTTGCGGACCCCTCGCTTTGAAGGCTTGTAGTTTTGGCACTTGAGGTCTCAGAACGTCGAGAGGGCCTTAGATCA